CTGGTGCGGGGACGACTGATAGTGCCACAAGCAGATGCTCCTGCATCGTACATGGCGGCCGAGATCTTATTCCACTGAAGCTCAGTGTCATTAGGACAAGACAACAGAAGTTACGTGTTATACAGTGCATCTTGATAGGCTTGCCTGACCGAGGACTGAGATAATTTCTCCGTTGTCAATAGGAAGGGACACTTGGCGTGCCTCCCGGTAAAGTTCATGGAGAAACGACAGCGCACCAAAGCTTGGTCATAGTCGACACAGGTACTCCAGTACGAGCGGCAATCCAGAATGGACCCATGCCACCTGTAACTTATGGCTATGTGGTCGATTTGGGTCCATCGCTGGCCAGCTACAGGAGGACGCCAAGTGGCACTTCGGTGCCCACTGTGTCTAAAAGCAGTGCTACTAAGAAACAACTGGTGCTCCGCACACAGTTGCAGTTGACGCTCGCCGTTGTCAGTCCGTTCGGAGCTAAGCCCATAATTACCACCCAGCTGAGCTTCTGGAGAGCTCAGACGCCCTACTTGTGCGCCCATATCACCTGCCAGTACTATGATATCTGAACTAGTAGTACTGCGTATTAGCGTGTTCAGTTCGTGATAGATTGTGTCCTTGCCAGCATTAGAACTGCAGTTGGTAAGAGCATAAACGGAAATCACAAGCAAAGAGCGTATTGTACTACTTCGTGAATCAACCTTAGCTGATGTCCACAAACCGTCTGCACAAAAATGGCTGTTCACCGGAATCCAATCAACCAACGATGGCTCAGCCTTGGAGATTAGAAGGATACCTACACTAGCTTGATCCGTGCGTGCTGCATCGGCGTCTACGGATGCGTGCAACCAATAACGAGAGGATAAGCCGGGTGCAGTTAATTTAATAACCCTGTTAAAGTCATTGATTCTAGTTTCGGACACACAACACACATCAATACCTAGCGTGTCCAAGGTGCGTGCGAGTGCAGCCTGTTGACCTGTTTGTCTTAGAGTGCGGACGTTGGATGTCGTCATGGAAACGGGACAGCGTGGCCTTATACGGGACTGTTGCCGATAGGCGTCCGATAGGTGCTGTGGGATGGTGGCTGCAGATGGTACTACTCCAGTAGCACTTCGGTTGCTGTCAATTAAGCTGGGAATTATAGAAGGAATTTTAGTAGTGGGGGTTAGGATGGGAGTAAGAGAAGCAGTTGGAAAAGAAAGAAGGGAGGCGCCAGCAGTAGCATGTTTTCGCTTATCCGCCATGCTGTATGTAGCAGATAAGGCGACCGTTGATAATCTGAGCGACGGCCGATGCAGGATGAAGTTTATGTTTGAAGAAGATGTCATGGTTGTTTGTGGGCTGAGATACTGCCAGGGCGGATCGTTGAATCAGGAGCTGGCAGACTTTGAAATATTGATGTACCTAAAACAAAGACCGTATCACACCCTGTCTAACAAATTGATGCCCACGAATCCTGCCCTAGCAGTCTCTGCTGGGCCGATTACGTGAAGTAACAAAGAGAAAAAATTGAACGCTGAAGGCAAAAAGAGAAAGTAGAAGGAGCTAAGCAAGTAGAACACAAAGATATTTGAGTCATTAAAAATGAACTGAAAAGTACAGGTGAGTCAGTTAGGAAAAAGGAAAGGTTTGGTGTTTCCACCCAAGAGCATCGAGCTGGCGCGCAAATCCCTTAACCGTAGGTTCCCTAACCACCTGGTCTGGAAGCGAATTCCAGGGAGCTATAACTCGGCGCAATAGACAAGTTTCCGTCCTAATCCTATCAGACCGCGGTTTATGCAATTTCAGTGGGTGACCGCGGAGATTAGGTAACGTAGCGGGACTTAATAACCCTGACAAATCCGGGCCGATTTTACCCGTCAAAATATGATAAGTGAGAAGCAGGTCCCCTCTTATCCTTCGGCAGTGCATTGAGTACATCCCCAAAATGAGCAAGCGTTCCGGATACCTCTATCCCCATAGACCCTGCACTAACCGAGTGCCAACTCGTAACACCGCCTCCAAGTCCATTTTGTCTCGAGTAAGACATGGTGGACAAGCCTGGATACAACATTCCGGGTGGGATCCAACGAATGCCGAGAACAGCTTCACAAACAAATTGTCCGTTAGAATTCCGAAAGCGGCGGATAAATCACATCATACGAAACCTTCGACAAGCAGCCTTTTTCCAATTGTTGCCAGAATAAAGTGCTGATGAGTGTAGGACCCCTAAGTCAACCTGTTGAGTGAAAACAGGGAATTCACCACCGCCGACAACATATCGGGTGGGAGGATTAGCGGTTCCGATTCGTAGAACAGAGCATTTGGCCCTATTTATGGGCATCAACTATAAAGCAGACCAATCCTGAAGCCTATCCAAGGCACGGTGAATTGCCTCAGGACCCCCCCCGGGATATCCAAAATATTCCAGAGCTGAAGGTCGTCAGCAAACATTAATGATGACACTCTTAGCTCTCCCGGCAAGTCATTTACATAGATGGCGAACAATAATGGCCCCAATACCGAGCCCTGCGCGACGTCACTAAGGACAGCTTGCCTGAGTGAAAGGCTACGTCCCACCAGTACACACTGTTCCCTCCTCACAAGGAAAGCAGATACCGACCAGATCCACTGTAACCTCTCAAATTTAGTGATACGCGAAGATGAGAAACAGTGTTAAAAGCTTTCGAAAAGTCCACGAATGGCACGTCTACAGGGTGGCCACTGTCTTCCGCTTCGGCCCAGCTTTTACTAGCTACAAGTAGATTAGTCTGACATGAAAATCTCTTGCAGAATCCATGTTGTGTAACACTGAGAAGGTTGAATCTATTCAGGTGGTTCTCCACTGAATCCCTTATCAGCTTCTAGAACAACTTGACTACTACGCTTGTCAAACTAACAGGCTGGTAGTTCGCGGGCAGAGCGCTGTCACCGCCCTTAAAAATCGGGCGGATGATGGCTTCCTTCCATTCCGAAGGTAGGACGCAGCTACCAAGCGATATTGAAAACATGCATGTGAGAAGACCACTCAGCTCAGTGTCCAATTCATGTAACAGCTTCGGATAAATTGAATCAGGACCGGAAGCTTTAGAGGGATTAAGGCCTTGCAGTAGCTCGAAGACCCGAGTCTCCGTTATGTTAACTTCAACTGATTAAGAATCCTCTGGAACTTGAAATCAATTCAACCTGTGGTAAAGAGGCCTCCCAAGCAAAGACCCCAGTATACTGATCACTAAGTATACAAGTCTTGTCAAAATCATTTGGCGCACGGGTCACGTCTACTCGGAATAACGCTGGTATAGACAGTTTTTCCCCGCAATGTCTTTTAATGTAAACAAAAATCTTCTTGAGATTAGTTGCGGCCGAGTCCGCTAAACCTGGCTTGTACTGGAGACGAACAGTCCTGAGATGTTTCTTACATTTATTTCTAATATCTCGATAACTATCATAGGTACTGGCTGATGGAGCTTCTTGGTTGGTTCGCCAGTATCCAGACGGTTTTTTGTGTAGGTACTTGCCTGTGGTATCTATCCATGGAGTTGGTACTCTTAACCCTCTTTTCCTCATGAGTGGAATATAGGGAGTGGAAACCTCCGGAAGGTATGCCTTAAATTTATCCCAGGCTAACTGGACAGAGTCAGCCCTCGAGAGCTCACAGTTCAGAACTAAAGCCTTAGCTCGCATTGCACTAAAGTTCGCCCGCCAAATATTCGGAAGTAATTCAACAGCGGTCTGCTGGTGCCTTCAAAAGAGAACACCGAAAGGATATGCATGCATGATCGCTGGACCCTAGAGGTGTACCGTATGAAACGTCAATCACGAAGTCGAGGGACTTAGCGAAAAGCAGAACTAAGGTAGATGGTATTTGGTTGTTCATATACCTAGTGGGGAAGTCCAAGCATTTGTGCAAATGGCACTTGAAGTGTCAGCTCAAGGAAGTCTGCACCGAATGTTCCTGACGCCGAATTGCAAGAAAGACCGGCACAACAGACTTCTGAGAGGTTGAAATCCCCTAGAACTAAACACTTATTCGCGAACTGAGTGCAAATAAAGTCAATTACCCCCTGGAAGAATTTCCAGGACGCTTGTATATTACTACAACTGTAAACTGGATAGAGGAGTTGCACAAAACAGCCGATAGGACTTCAACAGTCTGATTCGACGACTGGAATGTGCAGGTCCTCAACACATCTAAGTCACAGCTCACATACAGTACAATGCCCCCGCCTTGGCGACCAACGGAGCGATCAGTTCTAAGAAACCGTACTACTAAGAAACAGCCGGTGCTCCGCACACAGTTGTAACAGACCTTCGCCGTTGTCCATCCGGTTGGAGTTAGGTATGTACTTACCACCTAGCTAAGCTTCTGAAAAGTTCAGACGATCTACTTGCGCATTCATGTCCCCTGCAACTACTATGACATTTGTACTGGTAACACTGCGTAGTTGCGTGTACAGTACCTGGTAACAAGCGTCCTTCAGAGCAGCAGAGCTGCAATCGTTGGGGGCATAAGATAATATGCATTCACTGGGCCTCTGACCATGGTGGCATGGATCACGAACTTGGCCACAGGTGAGAGAAAATTAAATTTACTGAGCGGGTCATTTGCAAGCACTGGCTATGTGAATAGGTCGTGACACAGTATCTCAATAGGAACTGCGATTCGGGCGGGAAGCACCCAACATTAATCTGCATCATCAATTACAGTCCCCTTGATCAATTTGACCAAGGTTCACTTCAATGTGAATCGCGGTCCACATTGTGATTGTGCTTTGCAATCCATTCACACGACAAGTAAATCAGATTGACTTCAAATCAGCCATAACCCGTTGTGACAAGCGTTGCTCATCGTGACACAGTGCCTTAAGGTCCCAGATTCTATACCTACTTTTTCTATCTGATCATGTCAAACAATTACAAAATTAGTCATGGAGTGCAATGATTTCGAGGCGGTGGCAATCAAAATAAGAATTGTACCATAGCGAGCAAAAGTAGAAAGCAATGATATACTGACTTGTGCCTACCCAAACAACTTTGCATTCTAGTCAGATCGCCCGCCATGGCTGCCGCCGCGAATTCCGTTGCTCCGACGAAGGACTGTAGTGTCCGTATTAGTCTCAACCTCGGGCAAGTCAAGTTACTTTGGTGTACTGTTGCTCTGTCCTCAGATTTCACCCCACAACCGCAGGATGGCTGGTGATGTGACACATATTGTGGTAGAGATGCTCTGGCTAGATCGACTGCGTCCAAGTCCCACCGTTTGGCCCGAAGACGTACCAGATGTGCTCTTATCGCCCGCTCCACCTCTGAAATCATGCAGTCGATCACCTGAGGAGGTTGGCACCGATCGATTGCTACAATGGCGCTGTCCAAATACGGCCAGATGCCGGGAAATCCGTCGACTATAGCAAAACGCTGGTTCCATTCTGAGTTCACACGTAGCAGCCGACGATGTAATTGCCTCGAAGCAATGGAATCTCGAGGTACGTAGAAATTACGAAGAACATATTCGTGACTCAAGTCACCCATTGAACTATCAATGCCTGGTGAAATGGAACAAAAGAGTAGTCAGTTTCGTTATTTGGACTATTAGCAACCAACAGGCTAAATATAGATGCCTGTGTGACACTTTCAATGGCTTAGATTCTCACATGGTAAGGAGATGGTATGCATACACTCAATTCCCATTTCACACTGTCACGATGCAGTAGTGCATTTAACTCAGTAGACGCTTAAACTGATGGATGACATGTCCTTTGATTGGAAAGCTTTCACGCCAACCATCCTACGGTATTCATACAGTATTTAAGTTTCCATCCATGAAAATTTATTATGCAACTAGTTAACTACGATTTGCGCACCAGAAGCTGCTTCTGCTACTGTAGACTGTTCAGTAGACATAAAGCAGATATTTCAACTACTTAATTGTATTGGGAGTTAACTATGATATCATACATCTGTCGCTCTCTCTCCCAAAGGCGAATCAAGCTTAAGACACACTTAGTGGAACGGTATGAAAAAAACTACTCAGGATCAGAGAATTGGACCGCGTCCAATGATCAGTGACAATCCAAAGGTTAAGCGGCTGTCGTGGAGCCGCGTTGAGCAGCAGGATGCATAGCTGCGAGGTGCTACTGTAATACTGGCATTTGTAGTGAATGAACTGCAGCGTCCTATGAAGGGTTTAAGTAAGGGCGTCATTTGGGCCAAAATAACAATCATTCCTTAACCTGTGCGTGTACCACCGGGTCGTTCGTTGGATATTGTTTGAACAGCCGGTGTCATATAGCTTTTTCTTAGAGCAGTTGCTGATATCGGACTACGCTACGAAAGCAGGGCTGGCCCATCCGCATGGGTTGCATAAAGCATTAATGTTGGGCAGTTGACAAGATCGTATTGAAGGGGTAGGGCAGTCGTACGGTAGTTTTCCGATTGCAGTTAGTATTGTACCCTCGAAAAAGACTGCATTGAAGTCTCCCTCAGCAGTGGTGGAATTCACCGTATTTTCTCTTTCGGAGACTTGTGGCTTACACATCTGCTTTGTGCTTACATTTGATCGCTCGCAGATAGCGTGCAGTAAGCAAGAGACTAGAACGATCAGACAAAGGGTAGCTCACGATTGAACGAGCACAGCTCACTTAGTAACCATCAATACACTCCTGAACAGGATTTTGGGCTTAAATTACCCAACTCTCTAGGTTGACCTGTCAGGTCAACCTTGACAGAAAACGCGTAGTTCACGACCATGTAGTTGCTCGTCGATGACTGCCACACGTACACACACTGTGATAGTTCGACATGCCAGAAGGAACAAATGCACATCACCAGCTGATAAGAAATCAGTGAGCAGCCTAAAACGTGAAACAGATCACATCTGTCTACACTGTCGTTGTGTCGGGATAAAAATTCAGGGATCTGTGTCGTTCCTCATGCTACTGTTCTACAACATATCTGCATCTGAACAGTAGAATGCATACGCTGAGTTCTGCCGGAGTTGAGTGACATGAGCTCAACTGCATGTAGATACTACTTACATTAGTTAGTTGTGGTGTAGACAGCTGCGTGAAATTTTTATCATTTGGAATAGAATGCGGAAACTGTCGAAAATACTTCCATGCTCGATGTGCTCCCCTTAGTCTCGGCCAGATAAAAAGCTTAATAGTACGACTGATTCTCTCTGGTTCAGCACTGAGTGTATGTCTCTTCCACTACTCAGATATATAACTGTGTTGGAGCAGAAGTAAGATAGGCTGACAAAGATTGTAGAGCAGGCAGCAGTCGTGAAAGCTGTCCCACATGAACCAGACAAATCAGTGCCACGAACACGATGCTCAACATCAAGCACCAATTCAGCACAGTGTAAGAGTAACCATCCAGAGTTAGCCACCCAGACACTAGGGTCTGCTCATAAAGATCCATTCGCCACACCTTCCTCAACAGAAACACCCGCCACACTAAACGCTGTTAGATGGCCGACAGCCTACACGTCCGGTGTTGCTACCCATATGACGGAGGCACCTCACATCGTAACCCCGTCCGCTGCCAAACGAGTTACTACCGCCAATACCACCACGGGAGTCAAGAACCCATCATTTGTCCAATCGAAGAAAGCAGGCACTGGTCCCTCCAAAAAGGAGAACATGGAACACTACCATAATTCTCTAAATGTGAAATGCTCTAGTTTGACTGAATCCGGGGCGAACTCCATAAAAGATAAGATACTAGACGACAAAAAGCAGTGGGACTCCCTGTGTCAAGTAATAGGGGTTCAAACTAAACCAGTCAGTATGATGCGTCTCGTCCCTCACCTAAACTCTGTACACTACGGTGAACCGCGGTTACTCCAGGTAACACTTGAGTCAGGTAATGATGTAGAGGCAGTTCTCTTGTCAGCCACTCGCCTCCGTACCACCACATTCACTGTTTGAATATTTCCAGATGTTCCTTGGAGAGAACGCCAGGAGCGCATACCTAATCCGGATGACTTCCGTAAACAACAAGACGCAAAATTTATCCTTGTTCACAGTGTCCCCGAGTTCCAGTCACTAAGCGAGCTAGAGGTCAAAGCGCATGACTGGGATGAATGGCGCTTTATTCGTGGAGTACTCTCACTCGAAAATGTTATCGCTAATTCGACGTCAAGCTTACCGCTACCACGTAACTGCAAAAGGTGTGGTCCCCGAGTGATGAAAATATCATTGCACTTCGAACTGATGGTAGAACATGTGATCAGAATGTGGCACCAAAAGCGTAAATTGCTGTCATCCGAAATACGTATAAAGGCAGTAGGCACCGAGCCACAGATAGACAACGTAACACTGAGCAGGCAACTTACCAACACAGTTCTGTCACCGTGCAGCTCAAAACGGAAAAATAATTCCAAAACACACCGACAGCTGAAGGAGGACAGCATGGTCACCCTCCTGTTGGCGCTGAGAGCTCTATAAAACAACCTGCACTGATCCTAGGGCCTGCATCGTCGTTCCTACAAAGAAACAACCGGCAGTTGACCCCGCAAGGGTCGGCATAGACGCTCACTGGAAATCAGCATTCACAAACACGCTTCTGGCCACCGATGACCTCACCTGCTTGTATACCAATGCACAAGGTCTTCTTAGCAAGCTAACCGAACTTCGTATTCGTCAGGTCACCACGCCTTGGGACCTAGTTATGGTCAACGAAACATGGCTGAACACGGAGATCACGGATGCTGAGATTGCAATACCAGGCATGACTACCGTTCGAAACGATCGACTTAGCAGAGGGGGGCAGTGCTCTTGTATTATCGATCTGACTTGCGTGTTGATGTCGTTGAAGACCCAGAAACGAATGCCGTCGATTCTCTTTGGTGTCGTATGCACCTATGACGTGGGGATGTCTGTTTACTAGCAATAGTTTACCACCTTCCAGTATCCACCTTGGAAATGGATCAATGAATAACTTCTACGATGAAACGAGTCCTGGCACAACCATACAGTCACGTGCTTTTGGGGGGGGGGACTTCAACCTGCAAGCAGTCAAAATCCCAGCATCGCACAGTGATCAATTCAAGGCTGGGTTGCAAGAGGTGATTGCTGATGGATCTTTGTACAACCATGTCACCTCTCCCACGCGATTCCGAAGGGGCGACACACTCTGTTTTGGACCTTGTGCTCTCCAACGAGGAACCAATGGTCGACACTGTGACCATAGATGCACCACTTGGCCGTAGCAATCACGCGAGGTTGTTCTTTCGTTACATCTGTTGATCGGAGTAGATCAGTGAGAACAACTTGGAAACCTATGTCGTAGCACATTACGATATACTATCCAAATTCGTTCAACAAACCGACTGGTCCTTCCTGGCCGGGAAGTCGCCAGATGTTGTCTGGATGCTGTTCGCCACCCAATTCACTAAGCTAGTGGCAAAAGCATCAGAAAGCAAGGTCCTTTGTCCGAAGCAAGTGAATTCGTTCCTGAGGAGCCGTACTAGAAAAGGCATGGACTTAAGGGATTCAGCCTGGCGCGCTTACAAAATCAGTCCAAGTAACCTGACCTGGGATACTTACACAACTCAACGAAACCACTGCGACCAGTTGATCCGTGAAGACAAACTCCAGCATCAACAGAACTTAGCGGCGGAATTCAGTACAAATCCCAAGTTGCTGTATGGACACGTCAACAAGCTCCTCAGAGTGCAGCGCGGTATCTCGGTTTTAGGTGCAGCAGATGGCCTGGCGCAAACCGCATAAGATGCAGTCAACATGTTCCTCCAACAATTCATCCATACTTTCCGGAGTAAATCATCAATTCATCCGCTTGGTACACAGCTTGCATCGCGACCAGGGTTAAACCACGTATCGTTCACGGCAGCCAATGTAATGAAAACGCTAATGTCATTGCGCGTGCACAGCTCACCTGGCATGGATGACATTAAACCGAAAGCATTGAAAACAGCGACCATGAAAACCTTGCCGAACCATTAGCTTGGTTCTTTCAAAGTTGTCTCGACGAAACGCAGGTTCCGACAATGTGGAAACATGGACTATTCACTCCTATTTACAAAAGTAGTATTCTTTCGGTGCCCTCGAACTATGTTCCAATCACTCTCCTCCCAGTCTCATCTAAAGTAATGGAACGTATAATTGCAGAGGCGCTCATGGGATATCTTGAGAGCAACGGCATCCTAGTGTCACAGCAACACGGGTTCCGTCGAAATCGATCCTGCACTATAACCTTGCTGCTAGCCCGAGCAAGCTGGACAGAGTCAGCGGATGCCAAATCCGGAGTCGACGTTGTCTACCTGGGTTTCTCGAAAGCGTTTTATCTTTTGCACCACCGCATTCTCTTTCACGAGCTTCGAAGCTATGGAATCGGTGACCCTATGGTTGGATCGACAACTTCTTCACTCAACGTTAGCTGAACATGAGAGTCCGCAGCTCCATTTCCGACCCAGTTGACCTCGTGTGGCGTGCCTCAATGATCGGTACTGGGACCACGTTTATTCCTCGTATTCATTAACGATCTTGGCAGTGTACTGTAGTCGAATTGCTTAGTATTTGCAGATGATGTAAAAAGTTGGCATGTTATCAGGACATCGGATGAGCAGGTGACATTGCAGAGAGATCTCGACAGGGCTTATGCGTGGTCATCCGATAACCGGCTCCAGTTCAACGTGATCAAGTGCAAAGTCGTAAGCATACGCCATCAACTTATCTATGAATATCGACTCGGGGACTAGCAGTTACATGCTTCCCAAGAAAACGATCTCGGGGTGATCGTGCAGGACGACCTTGGTTGCTCGGGACAGGCTGAAAAGGCATCAAAAATAGCCAGTCAACATATTGGACTCTTACGGAGGGTTTTCGGCAATTTTGAGCCATCGCTCTTTCCACAAATGCTGAACGCTTACTTGAGGCCTCACGTGGAATTTGCGATCCATGCCTGACGTCCCTGGCGCAAGCGCGACGTCGATGCACTTGAAGCTCCATAACGTAGAACAACCAAACTCGTTAGAGGATGGTTTCATCTCTCCTACCAACGCAGACTGCAGTCTCTGAAGTTGTACAGTGGTGAATATCGACGTCAGCGAGAACACCTAATTCTGGTTTACTTAGTATTGACGAACCCAACTCATCCATGTTGCAATCTGTTGCAGCTGAGCCAAAATACCAACCTCAGAGGCTATCAACTCAAAGTGGCTACGCACTACAGTCGACTTGATTGTCGACATAACGTTTTCTCCCTCCGTGTGTTCCTGTGCCTGGAATGCCCTTCCAACTCATCTTATTCTTGCCCCTACATTAACGCTTTTCAAAAAACGCCTTGATGAAACGCTTTCAAACTTGCGTTACTTGATATAGTCCGTTCCACTTGCAGGACGAAATAACGCAAACCTAACCATGTGCTTAACGGCCCGCTCCGCAACGTGGCCGTGAGGATACATGCAGATGTGTCCATGTGAATAGCCTAGATGTAGCTAAAGGGGATTAACATTCCACATCTTTCAAATGAAGAAACAAACGAGTGAGCGTTATCGTTTTCTATCTTGTTTCTCACGCACTTACTGAACTGTAATGCCTCTCTATACTATTTTGCGTGTGCACATCCCGTTCCCACTTAAAACTATCGTTATGCAGTAGTGCATTTAACTCGGTGGATGCAGGAAATAACGATTTACTTATTCGATGATCCATCAAATTTTAATTGTTACTCCAACCATCCTAGGGGACTTGTCAAGCACATGCTTTTTTAACCATGATAAATCATTGTTCATTGTTCATTGACACCGCTAACACGTGGTCGTCGAGCTAGGCCATAGTTTACGAGAAACAGTGGGAGCGAATACTTCAAGCCTCGTTGCCATGAGACCGGGGCTTAGTGTGGCGAACAAATTCGCACTCAAAAAATGCAGTCACCACGTTAACCGGCCCAACGCTCAAAAGACCGGACAACCTCCACTACCCGGGTTCATCAGCGGATCAAAAGTAACATCTAACCGATGTTAATGTGTAGACACGCGATGTCTAGAGCCAAAGTGGTCCACCCAAGGTGAGTTAAACCACCTATGACATACTTGGAACGAATGCGTAGCTCAGTCTGTAACACAGCTGCAGCCCTGTTCGATCTAACTGTTACTCAGGTAGTTACCGAACTTGTTCCATTGAAACCCGAATGCTTGAGTTTTAAATAGCCAATGTAGTTCAAAGTCTCGGTATGGAGGAACGTTGGCCTGTTGCACGATTTTTTTAACGTAGATGAGAGTCCTGCCGCCATAAACGGAGGTCTCAATAATTATTACTAGCAGTGGATCATAATACTTCGATTACTACCAAGTATAACAGCATGTGTGAGTGACTTCGTTACGCCAAATAATGAAGCGCAGTCTCTGAGCGACAGCAACTCGTAACTACGGTATAAGGACTTTTAATACAGATAGGAGCTTACCTTTTGTTTATTTTTGTTGTTTTACTTCTTTTTCACATGGATGTAATTTCTTTTGCAGATTGAACAAAATCATTGAGCGTTCTGGCGATTAACAAAGATGGCCGACCAGGAAGCATGCTCCAGGATTGAACAGCGGTCAGTTATCAAGTTTTTGGTTGCTGAAGAGTGCAAACCAGTGCTTCCACTCTATGGACTGCCGTTTGGACTCAGGCTCATACTGGTAAACCCATGTCTGGTCACATGTGACCACCTTCTTCAGAAACTCATCACCATCCTTGTCATAACGGCAGAGACACTGTTGGCAAAACTCGAACCTCCTCTGTTTGTGCTCTGCAGTAAACATCTTTGGCACCCACCGGCAGCTGACCTTCGAGCAGCCACGGTCATCATGGACAATTTTGTGTGCGGTCCCAACAGATAAGCTCAAAGTCCTTGCAATGTCATCCACTGTCACCCTTCTGTCCGACTGAATGAGGTCATTGACTGATTCAATCACCTCAGGAGACCTCACTTCTGTAGGCCTCCCAGGCCTGTCTTCATCCTCAACACTGCTCCGTCCTTCTGTAAACAATTTTGTCCACTTGTAGACATTGTTACGGCTGCAACATGTGGCACCATACACAGTTGACATTCTCCTATGAATTTCAACTGTTTTGCACTCTTCAGCAACCAAAAACTTGATAACTGACCGCTGTTCAATCCGGGAGCATGCTTCTTTGTTATTCGCCAGAACTCTCAAAGTTTTTTCAATCTGCAAAAGAAATTACATCCATATGAAAAGGAAGTAAAACAACAAATTTAAAAAAGTAAGCTTCTATCTATATTAGAAGTCATTATAGCGAAAAATTCACCTTATTTATTAGATGACCCTCGTATATCACAAGAAATGATGCCACCTAACCTCTGTCTGTTACTAGCTCCGATTTATCCAGCGAATTGGAGCAAACACGTAGTTTTCACCGAGGCGCTTCAAAGGAACAAGAGCGAGAGTAAGCGAGGACAATCCGAAATAATGAGCAAAAGTATACACATAGTATCGTCCTACCACTTATCAGCTTCCATTGCGAAGGGGCTGAAGTAGCTGTTACGGTACGGTGGTAAATCGTCAGTTAGTTCGGAATACGACTAGTTACGATTGTTGAAACGGTTCGGGTACAATAGCGTCTGGTCAGGCGCACTATATACCAACCGAGGTAGATAAAAGACGACGTAAAATTTAGGCGTTTGATACCTCGTTCAGTCTGCAGACTTGCATTGACGAACCTTAGTAGTTGGCTTACCCAGCTGCATTAAGAATCCTAACAAAAGTTGATCTGGAAGCCTAACTGCATATCGTTTATCAACAAAGGATATTTGATCGCCCATGGATCCGTATAAGCTCAGCATGGAACATTGTTCTAACTGTTGACTTCCGGATAGCCCAATGTAGCTCCTCGTCTTGGACCACCCGCGCCGTCGAAAAGTCTTTCGTGAGCCTTCGTGGTCACTTTGATCCCATGGTATCCTGGTTGTGATCCGCTTTTTCGTCTCATCCTCACCTTCCGACTGTCCACATGATTCCGGCTCGGTAACCAGTTCCATGATTCCTCTCTCTCTTTCTGATGTTTGCGTTAGCAGGGAAGATGAAACCGCCACCCTCTCTTCCGTCTCCATGGTCAATACTGCAGCGAGGTTAAGGGCTGTTCTACCGAATACATCTCTTGCTTGAACGTCTATACCGGCAAGCGCTACACGGAACATCAAACGCACAATACTTCGTCTCAGCGTTGGTTGGGAGCGTAGAGCGAAGTACCTGATAGTAAACGGGAAGGCCACAAAATAGAGGATCAGAACAGAAGTTTTGGAATGGCATAGCAAGGAACTGATTAGCTAGTTTTCCACATGGACTATATGCAAAAGTTCACACAACTTGACAGTTGCATCCTGCAGAGTGGCCCCGTTGTCACTGAATTCATCGAAACTTTATGCCCTGCACTTTCGGACAAGCCTTACTATATAAAGAATGAAATAGAAACCAGGAAGTATCCTGCAGGACGGCGCGTCAATCGGGATGGATTCATCTGTGTTAGCGAGTGCGTACTGGAACAGTGGTTCATGACGGGCTAAGTGGTATAGGCTTGACAAGTCCCGTAGGTTGATCAGCGTGATAATTGAAAAAAGCAAAGATTATCCACGAGAACGAACCAACTCGCGCGTCAGTAAAGGGTCAAAGAACAACGGTATGATAGAAAAAGATTTGTTAGCAAAAGGCAGTATCATGCAAACCTACATAAAGGCTGTTATAGATACAACATTTTGTAAAGAGCTATAGGATAGCTTACCCGCCTTCACCGATTTTCTTGCATTTGGGTGGTTCACATTTCCAAATAAGTTGTTATAGGAATACATTCCAGGGTGACACGTTCTTGTAGCAAAGAGCAAGTAGATGAGTGTGATGTTCGAAGACCTTTAGAAGCTGCCTAATGTACACACCATAAACAAATGAATCCGAATCGGGTCTCAGAATTGGTGGACCCAAAGGGAGGAGCGATTTATTTGACAATCTGGACTACGGCATTGCGCAGTTTTGAAGAAGGTCGGCAAGAGTACACAAGCAAGTCAATCGCTGGTGATAATTATTGAGAAAATTCGAAGTGAAGGATGTAAAGGCGATCTTTTTCTTAGCTGGGAGACCTCTTTTCAGCTAACTCCTCACCAACTAACTTAAGAGTACCGGCGCAGCACCCTGATGAATTTCCTCTCCTTTAGCTGCACATTGATATGCATGCGCCCAGAGGCTGCACCCAAATTTCTGGACTGCTCCGTGACTCTGGGTTGAGATAGCGAGATGAGAGGGTTGATCGGCCGCTCGCACTTTGTTTGGCTTACCAGAAGTTGAACGATGACTTTTTTGTGTAGTGCACCCTTAGTTTTTAGTTGGTCAGAGGTTTATGGCCAAACTCTTCTTAACGATTTCCCTACCAAAGGTAAAATAAGTGACATACGAAACAAGAAAATCATCGAGCTGTGAACTTGTTGTTGCACGAGACAGCGAAGCCAACTATGGGACTCAACTTTCCCGACAGCAAAGCCAAGACCACTGTACGAACGAATACTTCATCTCAATCGAGCATTTTACGTTGCAAGAAAAGTATCTAATAAATACCAGCAGCATCGGGTTCTTAAAACGTGACAGCGTACTCGCAGCTGTCGTGCGCGCAGTTTTGCCGAGGAGTTAGCTCTTTAGAACAACAAATAACGCCGAATAAGTATCTGGATTTGAAACGTACTACATGCACGCGCTCACCAATTGTTGGGGGATGACCTACTTTTCGCTACCGGGGATCGAGGGGTGCGACTTTCAGGAGGTACAAAAGCTTACATGGCGGTAAGAACTAAACTGGGTGTTGTAAACATGTCTCTTCTTCCATGCTAGAGAACACACAATCCGCCCACTACCTGGTGTTTTAATCCAGGCTGCGCTGGGCTGCTCAGAACAACCTGAGGAGGTGTCAAACGCTGGAAGCCAAAACTGGCATACTGCAGAAGACATTCGAGCAGTTTGATCCGCCTGTCTCTTCCCAGTTACTAAAAACACTTGCGGTCTCATGTGAACTACCCACTACGGTCCTGGCAGCCCTGGCAGAAGCAAGATCTCGCAGCACACCAGATTCCACAGTGAAGAGCCCCAAGCACGCCAAACGGTTGCTCCACCATTCGTATCAAATTAGGCTGAGGACTCTAAGGTTGTACGGCAGTCAATATCGGCGCCTATATGGCGAAAGAGTAGTGCCCTAACAGATTTTGAGGAACTCCAACTACGTATACCACTACATAATGAAACAGTCAAAACAAAATTTGAAGGGTCGCCAGCTCAACTGGACCACGCAATACAGTTGGCTAAAATGTCAGTGAAACTTGTACTCTCCGTGTCTGCTAGTCATGGAAAGCCCTATCAAAATACCTCGTTTCCGCCCTCTTAGCTCTGTTTAGAAAAGGCCTTGAGACTGTTGTGCTGCCCTCAGGGAACCAAGAAGACTGGGCCGCAATCACGAAGTCGTTTATTAAGATTACGCTCGAATAGTTATAGAGTATATACGCTATTTACAACAGTCCGTTTCAATGCCTCATCCCTGCTATTTGCATTGTGTCACTGGCTCCTTTTCCATTGATTTAGGCTTGCTCGCCATGTTCACTCTGTCTAAAATCACCTTGACTTTCTTAGTGGATGTATGAATGGCGGCATTGGGCCCGCGCGCATCTTCCCCCGGTCCAATGCCACAAGTCTTGGCTCAAGACTGCACGAGTATGCGCTCCTTCGCCTGCTGGCGCCTGATTGGTCACTTGCCCGTTCTGTGAATGGTTGCAGCCTGGTCGCGATCACTGTCAACTATTTCCAGATTGGCTAATCAAGCTGCTTCCGGCAACATACTCACTCCCTATCGGTCTGGCCTGTGGCGTTCGATCGACATTACAGCATTTCCAATTACTAGCATTTCTAGACCCTATCACTGACACTGCCCTAACTCACCTAACCTTCGAGATATAGGCTGTGTACATCGATTGAAGATATTTTAAGTCGAACGTAGCACAACCTGTACTAACCTGCATAACTGAGTTTGGCATATTTCTGTATGCCTCTGTGTGAACACTGTGGTGTCCGCCAAAAACGATTTTCAGTTTGTCTCCATGTTGTATTTTCAACAGTTTGTAGTTCTCATTCTGTCCTTGTTACGGGGCTTGTTAGGCAAATGCTGTTGTACCGTAATGTAACAGTGTTCCTTTGTTATTAGACAGGACGTGGCCTTCAGTCGGTACTGGTGGAGCGTTAGCATTCCTCTCCAAGTCGAACTGCTTATTTAAAGTTATTTGCTACGATATTGTTTGGGATGAAATTTAACTAAGATGCGCAGTAGTGAAACCTACTCTGTCGACACAACCTGTCTCACGCGAATGCTAGCTGCTTGTAATCACGTATGTAAGTGCTTTATAGCTGAACCTTTTCCCACGGTGTTTAGTTATTACACTAGGTCCATGTCTTTATTTGTTGTTAAACTTCGTTACCTGATTCATCATTAATTTTTGGGAGCCAAGGATCAGGGCAAATTACTAATATAATGCTGTTGAGGATGATGACGAAATAGCGGCGGACAATTGTGGTGAATAAGAAACGAATCGCCTATGAAAGGTGCGCACTCATCAGGCAAACTAAGTGCCAGGAGTTCGTCAAGTGTCTGAAGAAAAGAAACACAAACCGTGACTCCTACCATTGCGACACCCACCAATCGCTTAGTAAGCGATCCTGCTTCAAGCGTCAGTTCTGAGATCCTTTCGACGACACTGATGAACTCGTTGTAGCAGTCTGTTTCCTCCTTAGTGTTGACAAATGCTGTACAGTCGACTCCGACCGTCTTAACATGCTGCATCTTATTCCTCTCAACAAACTTGATCCTCTTAAAATAATCCTGGTATTTTACCATCTGGCCTGATAAAGTAAAATGAGATGTAACAGACAGACTAACGAAATCTCCGTTGCAACCGATCACACGCGAACCGGATGGCTCTGGCTATTGGCCGCACCAAGCTTCAGTACTGTGACAATAGTCGACCGTTGTTAACTGCAAAAAATTGCGAATACTATTGGTGGACTTCCGTCTATGTGAATGGTACTGGCCAGGCAAATTTCTGAAAGCGCTATTTGAACGAGCAGTGCTGTATCATTCCCCTGTTTGGTTTTCACCAGTAAGGCTTTTGTCCCTGAATGACCAGGTGCTACCACAATGACATTGCCATAGTGCATATGAATATCTCCTTATCCATGTACTCTGCCGTGATATTGTTCGATGCAAATCCGGATCCGCGTGTGCGATGAAGAATTACTGACCAATTATCCAAACTTCAGTCCTATGATAGGGCGACACAACAATCCTAAAATCAGTAGCTTCCGAATGCACCCATCTACGGCTCACAATACGGCCTCGTAAACTTTCGTTTCTATATATCAGTTGAACCGTTTTAAATACCCAGCTGGCTCAACTGCAGTGATCATTCACCAAACAGTTCCTAGGGTTCTCAACCACACTGTCACAGATGGACCACTGTCGTACACTTCTGGCTGCGTCGGATGAAAATGAAGATCACCCCTTTTTCTCGATATCCTCAGAAGCAGAGTGCACTTTCCAAAGCAACGTATGTGACTGAAAGGACTATCACACTGACATAGTAGATATGTGGTCCTGGTGGGACGTCTCAAAACACACGTGTTTGGAAAATTCTTTTTAAATCGCTACAGCGAATTGTAGAAGAATGTTCCTAGTGAGATAGATGAAATGGGATCTACCAAGAAGTTCCGCGCACTTCTGTACTCTAACTAAGCAATAATAATAGCGGCAGAAGTATTGAGGACACCACAGATGAAACAATTACCTCAAGAAATCAGACCTAGATAGGTAAAGTGGCAGAACCCTTGTCCGCCACAGAAGTTTGCTACAGGAAACAGTGAATAGCGTAACATGGATCGTTTGAGTGGTGCAGTCCCAAGCATTTTCATACAACACTCTTTAACTTAGCCTACCATACACTTTATCTTATTCAAATTTGTCTACTGTAAAACTGATTTGATGGCTCTTTCTGATGCGCATGATCCTAGGTCAGTAGCAAAGATAATTGATTGGTATGATGACCGTAATTTTTAGTCTAATCCACAAGCCAACTAATGTTTGTCTACGGGTTTTCCTCATTGCATTTGTCCTGTACTGTGAAATATTTCTCTTCCTTCTGGGTGGAAAAAAACCTGGCTTGAAGAACAACCTT